CATTCTCTTGCACTAAGCATACGAATAATTAGTTAATTTGTATACAATCGTATACGAATTAAGTATACAATTGATCAACCCGCTAGATTATGCACCGGCAGCGGGAAAGAAGCTAGGTACCGATTTAATTCAGTAGCTCGTTAGCCAACGTGATATGTAGTTCTGTTTGTCTGAACTCTGAATTGCGTGTTTAGTGTGCATGATGGAAAACTCTGTTTTGCAGCGTAGTTATAATTACTTAATGAAGTTTAGTTCATTGCAGTCAACTTAAGAGACAAATTTTCAACTAACTAATACTTTTTTATAAGTCTAATTTTAATTGTTGAGTGAAAGGTGCAGGTTTACAACTTCCAAGTGATTAGGTAGGTACTTTATAGAAACTGAGCAAGTTAGAGTACGCGTTTGAAGCCTTTAAGAAGTTCATTTTTTGCCTCAAATAACAATGTTGGATAGAAAAAGTGGTCTTGGTGGATCAAATTATCAAAATAATATATGAACCTTCGAAATTAGAATTCCATCCTGGTCAGGTGTCTGCGCCACCGCCAAGTGCACAAATTTTTCCTGATGTACGCCGGGGCAAGATCTCAGAGCCTTCCATACGCCGGATTAATCTGCGGAAAACAGCACCATCCTGGGTATGGCACAGTGTCAGAAATTCAGAATATATGGATTTTATAGGTTTGCATTCTAAAGGCTTTTAAAATAAATATGGCAACATTTTGTAATGTTTCATTGTTGCTGGTGCGTAGTGCGGTGTTTTGAGAGTGACATAAAGCAAACAGAACTCGAGTTGCGCGTATGGTGCATTTTTTATAGCCATTCATTTTTTTGCTATGTCCTTAAAGTGTCAGAATATACCGCGTTTACTGTTTATCAGTATTGAATTCTGTATAGGTAATATATTATCATGTTTACAAAACAAAATGTATCGAAAAATTTACCACCTTACACCTTCCAACGAAGTGACAATTGATACTCTTACACTGAGCTTGTCAGAAACTGGGGACACCCGGACAGCTACACTTCCTTTAACTCGCTTGCGTGTGGTTCGAAAACCGATAAAAAGTTGGCGACTCTTCCCTCCAAATCATACACTAGTCGTGTATCTGTATCGACAAATTTTTGTAATGAATATGTTCCAAAATTAAAATAAAAATTACATAAACTTTCGCATAAAATTCTCACGATTTCACCGATACCAACAAAGTTCTCAAATCCACACAAAATGATGGGATAAACTGCTTATCTTTCACAGCATATGGCAACATTGTGTTGACTGTTGACATTAGACAAGATGGTATCAGACACCTTGTTTTGGTCTTGTAAAGTTCAATATCATAATAAATAGATTTGATCCACATTTCACAGTGACATTTAAAGGATGGAAATTTGTTTCAAAAATTAAACACCAATTGATACACGTCTATATACGAATTTATTCATGTTTTTGCCCTATAATGTCGAATTTGTCCAAATAACTTCACTTCAAATCCTGAATGATTTTGTCTCCCATGGCGAGTTTTCAAACGTCTTGTGTCTTTTAGAAAACGTTGGTTGTTTATAAGCAGTAATTATTTTATTTTAATGAACCAAAGAAAGTTTAGTCATCGAAATTACAAAAACATTAAATTCAAAATACTAAGTTATATGAGTGAGATCATCAATTATCAAAGAAGCTGTAAGAAAAAAATCGTTGTTTTGATGTAAAAGAATGTTTTTAATTTATAAGAAATGCAATACTTGATTTTCAGAAATACGATGCACAAATTAATGATCCATATTAGAATTCAACAGGCGCGACTCATTCAGAATTAAATTGAAAAAGTTGGTACCTATTTGAAATTTATGAGTTTACAAATTGCTTAATTGAACACAGTGCAGAAATTCAAGATCACCTATGGGTATGAATTTAAGTCACATGACTGGAGATCTCAAAATGTATTGTACTACCATGTATGTTTGATACATAAGCTTTTTGTCCTTTTGATGAACAGAGTTTATTTAGGTTCTATTGACTGTAATAGGTAGAATGATGCGACATATTTGCGGCCATCCAACGATCAGTTGACGGCTTTGACTCTTGATACCACTGTACAAATATTGCGGTGGACACATCTTCCAGAAGTTTCCATGCAAAGATTCTTATTTAAAGGATAATAAATTGATTCATAGTTGATTACTCGAATTACTCTCGCCTATGGATATAAATGAACATCATTCAATTTATTTTAAACATTTTTCATGAATTCGCATTAAAATATTAATTTTGATATCAACCATGTCAAAGTAACGAAACAATTTATTATAGTTTTAGGCTTCCGAAAATATTTCAAACCTCTATCAGGAATATCATAATTAATCATTCTCTTGCGTTGAGTATATTAACGTTATGAACCGTGCCGCCGCTGCCGCGATCGTCATTTGTTTTCGTAGTTGCATGCCGGGCGCCTGCTTTTGTTGTTCTATTTAGTCTCGCTCCCATGAATTGCGTGGTTAGTGTGTGTATCATGGCCCATTCATGGAAAAGTCTGCTTGACAGCGTAGTCATGGTAGCTGTAATTACTTCAAGTTTACTTCTTTGCAGTCATATTCCATACCCAGGATGGTGCCGTTTTCCGCGGATTAATCCGGCGTAAACGAGGCTCCAAGCCCTTCTACTGGCGTACAACGCGGCGTGCAAAGAGCTAAAATAACGTTATTGGTGCACACGTCCGGCGTACGTCCGCATCTGGCTTGTCTCGACGTACGTCTGCATCTGGGTGATCTGGCTTGTCCTGACGTACCATACGTCCGCATCTGCTTGTCTTGGCGTACGTCCGCATCTGGGTGATCTGGCTTGTCCCGACGTACGTCCTCATCTGGTTTTGAGCATTTTAGTGCATACTAATGCGTTTTAAGGCGATTTAGGGCCTTCTAATGCGATCCAGTGTGTTCTATTACGATCTAGTGCATTCTATTACGATCTAGTGCCTTCTAATGCGATCTAGTGCGTTCTATTATGATCTAGTGCGTTCTATTACAATCTAGTGCCTTCTAATGCGATCTAGTGTGTTCCATTACGATCTAGTGCGTTCTATTACAAACTTTATTATATTATTAACAACATGGCACATTATAACAACATTATATTATTAACAACATGGCACATTATAACAACATTATATTATTAACAACATGGCACATTATAACAACATAACACATCATAACATAGCACAGTATAACAACACACCATATTATAACAACATAACACATCATCACCTAGCACAGTATAACAACATAACACATCATAACATAGTTTTATAGGACATAAAACTAGTAGATCTATTGATAGTGCTGTGCACTGTGCTATCAGCTACAGTCACTACTAGTTGGTGTGTATAGAGGGTAGAGTTTGATAGATTTATAGGACATAAAACTAGTGGATCTATTGATAGTGCTGTGCACTGTGCTATCAGCTACCTATCTGTTATGTGACTCTTCAATGTTTAGGAGATCTGCATTCCTGAAGTATTTTTGTATATTGAAGCCAGTTAAATGGTCAATATTTAGCTTATTACCTTGCTCCAAACAAACTTTACAAAGCTAATGAATAGACATAGTACCAATAATTGTTTACCCAAAAATCCCTAAGTGGTAAACACCACCTTGGCCTCTTGGCCATTATTGAAGGCAATAAGTACATTTTTTAGCCATCCATTATGATCAATATACTGCTATTGTTAGTAGGCTAATTGCAACATAAAAAATAACACTTCAAAAAGACAAAAAAGTTGAAAAAATCAAAAAAATCAAATAAATAAAAAAAAATCATGAAAAAATCAAAAAAATCATTGATTTTTGATTTTTTTGATTTTTTTAAAAAAATCAAAAACATCGCCAACCCTGCTGTTGATCATTGGGCATCGGCTATATAGATTGTAGAGCACTTCTGTTTGTGACGATTGCCAGGCATCAATCGTAAAGTACGTGTGCCTGTGTCGATCATGCAGCATTGGCAATGGTTACACTTCCGTTTTTAGCAAGCATATTGGCAACTTTCTTCCCTGGCATACTGGCGTACATCCGAAAACTAACCTCCGGCGTACATGCTGCACCTTCCTGACCATGGAAGCCTATAAGAAGTTCATTTTTTGGCCTCAAATAATGTTGTATCGAAAAAATGGTGTAGGTGTATCGGGAATAATATATGAACTGTCAATATTAGAATTCCATCCTGGCATAAGTCTCGTAGCAGTTCTCCCTTTCTTGGCTTAAGTTGGCTATAATTGTTTACTGATTTCTGCTTTCAGCGCACCATTCTAAAAAAAAAAATTAGATTAGGATCAGTTTGTTAATGAAAAACCTAGAAACTGAGTGGGAAGCAAAAAACCTGGATCTAGGTTTTTTCTGCTTCGGAGCGCCACTGTGCCTGCGGAGTGCCTGCTGGAGTCTGCTGGGGCTAAATGCCCAATGATTTGCTAAAAAACCACCATGGACCAGTAAAGTATCCTGGATACCTAGTCTGGAAAAGTCCTATTTTTGTCTGAAATATCGCGGCTCTAATATCATATAATTTCAGTAGGTATGAAATCTCGCGGCTTGAATGTCATAAATTTTTGTTTGATTAAAAAATCGCGGTTTGCACTTCGCAAACATGTCATTTCATAAAATTTTCAACTTCCGCAATCCGCATTGCCTGTCTCTTATACACATCTAGATGTGTATAAGAGACAGGGCCAAGACCTAGTGTTTTTGCAGTATTTCGACACGCAAATGTATGACGTCACCATTTCAACCATCAATGAACGCATGGAACTAAAACAAAGCTTAATATAAAGGAAAAACTTGAGAAGTGACGGAATTACCTACGATGTCGGAATATACCGCGTTTACCCTATGCCAATTGCCATCATTGCCATGTAACAGTCTATAGGGAAGGGTGGCAAATTTGGCAATCAAAAGTCAAAACTACTGCTCAGTGCTCACCCTATGGTCTTGCGTCCTGGTCCAAAGTTTCTTACCTGGTATTCTAGCTCCAATTCATCATTTGCTGAGACGCTCAAGTAAAAGCATTCAGCACTGCCAGGTTTTACAGTGACTGTCATCTCATCATCTCTATCACCACAAAAACAACAGCTAATAATCATAAACAAAAAACATATTACGCAATGCCATGATTGCATCATGTTGGCGATTGACATTAATAAAAAGTTATGGTGATTCACCGATCGTTCGTTTTAACGTTAACGTGTTGCCGTGTATGTGTGTAATCAGTAATGTGTACGAGTCCTACTCGTGTAGCTGTTGCGTGAAGCCTATGTAGCACGGTGCGGTGGCCCCCTGACGACCAACTAAGCGTTATGTTATTGAACAAAATTCATGACGTGGATTTACACTTGTGATTTATTCACATAGAAAGAAATGAACATGTTCTGCAATGATCTAAGTTCTAAGTCAGGCGTTATGTTATAGACTAGAATTTATAACGTGGATATAAAAAACTGTTATTAAAAATGTATTTTTGCAGCTTAGTGCTTCTGCACTAAGCTTTTTTTGTATATTGTGATTTGGTTGCATCAACTAAATTCATATCAGGTCGTCATTTCGACATCGACAGTAATATAGAACTCCCAACACGTACGAAAATTGTAAAGTTTAAATAACAACATTTTTGATTTGCTGCATGATTCAACATTTTAACGAAGCTAGTTGCCAATGACGGAAAACCCCTGATTTGGGGGGCGCAAAGCCCCCCGGTTTTACCCCGCGCCTCTACGCGTATTGTGCTTTGCACGAGCTCTCATTATTCTACTCGCAGTACGTGCGATTGTAGAGCGAGGTAAAGTTTTCACTCTCGCAATCCCACAGCCCAAACCTCTGCTCCAATCTCGCTGGAAGTTTCACCACTATAAGTTAGGACCTATGGCTTTTTGAACTGCTTGAGAACACTTTGTTGTTAAGCAGATGAGTTTTATTCAAGTTTAGTAATAATTTTGATTGCAAGAAATCAAAATTAAGTTCGAAGCATAGCTCTGAGCAACAGGTTCGGTTAGAGTGATTCCCCCCACTGGGGTTGGGTCAAGTCAGGAACAGGTTCGGTTAATGTGATTCCCTCCCACTTGGGTTGGGTCAAGTCAGGAACAGGTTCGGTTAGTGTGATTCCCTCCCACTGGGGTTGGGTCGAGTCAGGATCAGGTTCTGTTAGTGATAGCTGATTGCATAGGCCTACTGGGGTTGGGTCAAGTCAGGAACAGGTTCGGTTAGTGTGATTCCCCCCCACTGGGTTTGGGTCAAGTCAGGAACAGGTTCGGTTAGTGTGATTCCCCCCCACTGGGGTTGGGTCGAGTCAGGAACAGGTTCTGTTAGTGATAGCTGATTGCTTGTGCCCATTGGGGTTAGGTCGAGTCAGGTACAGCCGTACAGGTTATGTTAGCGGAAAGTGATTGCCTATGCCCACCACACTGGGGTTAGGTCGAGTCAGGTACAGGTTCGGTTAGTGTGTTTCACCCCTCCCCCCGTATTGCGTCAAGTGAGGAAGAAGAGGCCAAGTTTCCTTGAGGCGTTGCTGGTCATTGACTTTTTTTGGTGGAGTGTAAATAAAAGATAAATTTCGCTTTAGATAACTTTTTATCTAAAGCGAATGAGAGACATTGTTGTGAGATGTGTGTATTATAAAGGAAAAAAGTGTAAAATGAATGAAGAAAAAGAAGAAGGGGGGGTGAGGTGGTGAATAACTGGATTTGCTGTTTCAGCAGTATCCTGGACGCCCAGAGACAGATAATTGGGCAATCGGGAGAAAGTTGGAACGGCAAAAACTCAAATTTTCCATTATGATGATTATAAATAAATCACGTTATCAGCGTAGAAGATTATATGTGCTATTACACCTGCCGCCGATTATGAACGTTGAAAAACTTTATCACAGTTTGTTGCGGCTCTCGCACACGAAATTCACTGCTCGGCTGCTTCAGTATCCACTGTGCTCAACCGCCCGGCCACCTCTTCGATTTTGACCAGAATTGCTGCTTCGATCTAGGATCAAACCCGTAACTCACTGTTCCAATCTTCGTAATAACTGTAACCACAGGGCCACATTGTAATTGCTTTTTTTACGCCATTCAAAGCACTAAACTCATCATAGAATAGAATAGAATAGAAGTGTTGGCGTTGAAGACATAGGCCCATGGCCTGTTGCCGATTCTTGAACTTTTCGTGACTTGATTCACAAGGGATCTGCCACTTATCAGCCCAGTCAACCAGCCTGTCAAGATCACCTTGCAACTGTACTTTTTGCGACGTATTCTTCACCATATTATAAATTTTTGTGTCGTCAGCATACATCGAGCATACGCTAGACACAGCTTCTGGCAGATCGTTTATAAACGCAACGAATAGAATAGGCCCGAGAACGCTTCCTTGTGGCACGCCGCTGCGAACAGAAGCCCAGTCTGATACGGACCCATTAATACTGACACGTTGTCGCCTCCCTACTAGAAAATCTCTGATCCATTATAGAAGTGTCGGCTCTGAAGAAATAGGCCCATGGCCTGTTTCCGATTCTTGAATTTTTCTTGACTTGATTCACAAGGGATCCGGCATTTGGAACCCGATCTTTCCATAACTGACGATTGATTGAGATCGCTGCTGGACTTATTGCCTGCAGGTCCGTAATTTACTTGGTATTTAAGATTGAACATATGTTCCTGCATAGCCTCGTCTAGTCTGTTCTTGAAGGCGTTCATAGTAGGAGCGTCACGATGCTATCAGGGAGGCAGTTATCAATGTGCTAGACGAACTTTTCACATTGATTTACCTTGTTCAACATCTAATATTTAAATTGTTCAACATTTTCTACGCAAAGATTTTAACAACCAAATCAGTGGTTGTTAAAATCTTCAGTTTTGCCTATTCACCATAGGTGGAGTGATGCGAAGGTTTGAAAACAGGGTGATGTTAAGACGATAGTGACATCACCAACATCACGGAGCTGCACCACAGCTGGAGTGATGTGAAAGAATGGCGGCATGGTGATGTTTAACATGCAAATCGAAAGTAAGACTTGAAGAACCGAAGTTTTAAAAATTCATGGCTCAAGATAACAATCTTGATAGGCAATTACAAATATTTTTTCTTTAAAAATATTTATATTTAAAGTAAATCAAAACCAAAAACAAACAACTAAAAAAATAAACACTAATTTTTTCATTTTATTTACGAATAAAAATAATCCTAGATTAAAATAGTAAAAAACAACCATTAAATATAAGGTCGAGCCATTTAAACCTATAGCATAGCAGTAAAATTAAATGATCTGAAAATCATATTAGAGCCTCCAATGTCAATAATGTCGTTTATCGGCTGGAACTATGAAATAATTAAAACACTGTAAACTAATTTCACACAATATACGTCGTCTCCGTTCAGTATTCAGCGTGACCGTTGCCAGTAGTCCTTCGTTCCGTCATTTTCCTCTTCTTTTTAGCGCATTTTCTCATTTATGGAAAAAATGCACTACTGTGCTCGCCATGTCCGTCCGTCCGTCTGTCTGTCTGTCTGTCCATCTGTCCGTCCGTCTGTCCGTGACCTCAAGTTATCGTCAACGAGAAAATGCGCTCGCTGTCACTCACTGCAGTGAGTACTGAGTTATAATTTTTTATCTCGGTCAGGATCACGGCTAAACGCCGTGAAGGACCCATTAAATATAAAGAGGCCAAAGCCTGAAGCCACATCATGCGTGCCACGAAAGCCGCGCCAGAGAAAAGATCGTCTACTTCTCTTATCTACATATAGTCCTTCACTCTCAACACAAGCCTCAATTATTGAAATCTCTCGAGCAATGGATGGAAGGTATAACAATTGTTCTTCACTCTGGTAGCTCTACTATGCTGAGACCGGCAACCGTGCAGTGAGTTGCGTGTTCGAGACCGGCAGTAAACTGTCATAAAGTACTGCGACGTTCGCAATCGTCAGCAGGTTTAATATAGCATATAATATTTTAAGCTGACAACGTGATTTATAATTAATATAGTAAAGTAATAAATCTTCGAACGTTTATTGGTTTTCATTGTAGTTATTATTATTTAGTAGATTCTACTGCCCTGGCCAGCTAGGGGATTGCTGGTTTTGTACCACTGATTCTTAGTAGATACCTGAATCCTCTTATATGTCTTATCACACGGTTTTTTCCACGAGACGTACGTATTTACTCGTCCCAGGGCGTTAAATTTCTATTGGAATTGGTTGTCGACATCAAACGCAGCTTTAAAATCTTAATCCTTGACATTTTGCAGTTTGATCCATGACATTTTGGTGTATCTTTGAGGTGCAGAATTTGCCTGCACTCAAGCCTCGAGCAAATGATGAATGAAGCAAATGATTGATTTGCACGTTCGAGTTTTAATTTTGATAATTGTAAATTAATAAGTTAGGCTGTCATTTTAGCTAGTATGTGTGATCTGGTACACAAAAAATATTCACAAATATTACTTTTATGAATGTCCGATTAGTTTATTGCTAGGATTATGGAATGAAAGAATAACAAAATATTCAACACAATATCACATGGGTGGGAGTGAGGTTCATATCGAAGTTTCTTTTCAAATCAAATGAGACTTATTTTACGCGATAAGTTTTCGAGTTTGTACGAATTGAAAGCATAGCGGGATGAATTATTATTAATTCATCCCATTATTTCAGGCATAAATTTTAGATGTACATCAGGTCAAAAAATTCTTCATAAAATAAGTACAATCAGAAAATAAAAGTTAGAGATGCGCCAACAACTTAGAATATATAGAAAATAAATACTAATTTAATTGTACCTATTTTTATTTTAAACTGATGATTGAGCTGGCCTCCGAAGCAATTTTGTTGAAGACAAGAGTGGACTTGACGGGCGTCATTTTCAAGCGAATACTTTGCCTTAACAAAGCGCATGGATGTTTTCCTCCTGAAATTGTAAATAGATAGGTTTTTATGTTCCGGTATCGTTGCTTTGTTACCCAAGTTTTAATATTCAAGTTACTCTGCAAATGCCGAAAAGTAATATGGAATATCACCATTTATTTCTTAATGATTTCGTAATTCATTAATCGCTTCGATCAGAAAAATTTGTTGAATTTCAACTTTACTAACCAAATCCAATTATGTAGATCCGCAGTCTCTAAGCTCCATAAAAACAGTTGACATCATCATAAAGAATATTGCCCATGGATGATGAAATCGAAATTTATATTTTTAATATGAACGACTCCGCAATTATAGTTTACAGTTTCTATCCAGAAAGTTTGTCATCTTGCACAAATGGCATGCTAGTGCAAAGTAACTAATAGATGAGAGCTTAGTTATACCGGGAATAATTCGGAAGTCGACCTCGTTGATGACACATTTATAGATAGAAATATTTAACACTAAATCTAGATAGTGAAAAGGAAGATCACTCATGGGGATTTACGGGACATTAATATTATCTATTTCACAACTGAAGTAACTATTTTCAAGTTAACTTTCGAACATTTCATAACTAACGTTTAGATTTATTATTTAGGCAATAATAAAACTATTACCCAAATAATAGAACACTATTACCAAGAATACCATTTGTTCCACTCATTTAAGAGAAACATTAGAAATTCAATTTTCATTTCTGATATTTTCACTTCTTCATGGAAAAAACACTCAATTTAAATTTCATGAGATAGCGTAACGTAAAGTTCGCGTCATCACAGCGTCTTTTAATGCTGCTATGTTACTTTAGTTTATATATAAGAATTAATTGCATGAAGTGTGTAATTAAATATAAATTAATTGTACAAATTGTTTTAAACATGCTGTATAATTGCGTTTTCCCTACAAATAAATTTAAATAAAATTTATGTTTTCTCATTTTATCCATGCTTATCGTTGATGTTTGATTCGCAAACTTATGCTATATTTTAATTAAACAATTTTCAGTTGAAGCGATCTGCAACGTATGATGTTTAGCAGTGTGATAAGCATCATCAGAAAATGATGCTATTTGTTAGAATAAAATTAAATTGCCATTAATTTAAGTGCGCCTGCTGTTTATATGTTTCCAAATTAATCATTGAATATAAACTTTTTATTTGAAAATTTCTCATAGTTGCACACATTACAACATGGAAAATGGAAATGCAAAGCAACTTGGGATTCAAATGAGTAACGAACTTCATGAGCACTTGAGAATTCTGGTACTGGAATATTTGTTTTAATATCCGTAGAGTTTTGCCACCACCCCATGACATGTTAATTTAAATTTTGACCTAAGAATTGACCTAATTTTACGTTAGGCTTCGAATTTTCTTTATAATTTCAAGAAATGTGTGTAAGATTAGAGCACGCAAAGTCATAAAAGTGTGTCCCTAAGGGATTTACAGCGTTCAAACAGCTTGGGACTTTTAAATTTTGATAGCAAATAGCAGGTAAATAAATAATTTTATGTTGTATAGAGTGTTTGCGAGAGCATATACGTGTATTTGAGGTAAGCGTTATACATATAACTGAGGGGCTTCCGTTTCCAGGTTCCAGTTCGGTCAGTGTGCCAGCAGCCGTTGTGAGGTGAAGTGGTGCACTCGTTGGCTTCGCTTGAATTCCAGTCTACCTTTGCCCATAGCATAAGTGGCACAATCGATCGAGCCTTGTCTTTAAGAAAGGTGAGCGCAGTTTGAAGAGCAAACAAGCTTAGAAGAAGAATTGATGTTCGCATTAAAGACTTTTGAAGTGGGGACAGATGCTGAAGAACAGGTGGAGCTTTGTCCTTAGGCCTCCAACTATACGATCGAATTTAAGACAATATCGTATGCGTTTAATGATGCAGTTAGCAATTAGGTTCATTGATGGCTTTCCTTCAGCTGTAATTGATTACCATTATTTCTATGAATATCATGTATTCGAAAATTATTTAGTAAATAAGTAGAGGGAAGCAAATTGGAACGTAAATCGTTCAAAGAAGTGGCAGGTGAATTCAGGATGACTGAAATAAGACCAGCGTGTTCCTACCAATGTCTCCAATTTTTGTCCAGTTCTGTTCTTAATAAAGCTTTATTATGTAAAAAAATGATTTTTATTTGGCATTAAATGTCAGTTGAAACATTTTCTCAAAATTTATTGATACAAACATAAAATTCATTGGTGTTCGGATATATTTCTTTCTCGTTGCTATAGGCGAAATAAGTTGGCATACATTCAAAGTAATGCAAAGCTAATTTCAACTGCGTATTATTTTTAAAACTCCTAAAATATACTTCAATAAAATAATCTACTTGGATATCGGTAAAGTGAGAGCTTATATCGATCACCTGAGTATTGGCTCAGCCATGATCCTCAGCCTTCCCTCAACTCCCCTCACCCGCTGGGACATCAAATAATTGTCGTGTCTGTACACAATGATCGTTCATCGCTCACTAAAAGACCTCTCTTATCTCATCCCATTTCAGCTCTAATGAAAATTTTCTTTGTTAATATGAACTATGAATAGAATAATATGTAATATCCCATCTGTAATATGTAATATTACAGATGAGATGTGCTTTCTGTAATATGAGTACGTGAAAGCACATTAAATTTTACTTTTACTTAAGTGAACGTCTTCAGAAAGCATTGGTATGTAATATCTCATCTGCAATACTTGATATTACAGATGAGATGTGCGTTCTGTAATATGAGTATGTGAAAGCACATTAAATTTTAGGAAGCATGAAATCTCAATGCAACATTGGATAAATGCACTGGAATTTATTTAATTATGTAGTTTACTGTCATGTATTTGCGCTCTAACATTTTGCATCCCAATTAATTTGCATTCCCAATATTAATATTATATTGTATTTTTTCTTCAGGTCGGATGACAACGGCATTAACAATTAAGCTACATTTAATGATCCGTTCACTTAGCCATGACACCCATGGTCTAAAATAACATATCTAACCTACTGTTGTGCGCGGTTCTTTAGTCAAATTAACAATTGAAATTGAATTAACTTTCATTTCAGTTTCTTTCAATAACCACGAAATAGACCACGTCTTAGAGCATAAATAAATTTATAATTAATATTTCACGGTCGCGCCAAATTGCACTCTCTTGCATGCTGCATAAGCTGCCTTCAATCGCAAGTTAACCAAAAATTTAAAAGCAAGGATTAAACCACAAATGTTCATATCTTTATGGAAAACGTTTCGGAGTCCAGCTCCATCGTCAGTTCGTAGAATCTATAATTTACATAGAAAGTCACAAATTAGTACAATTGAAAGCACAAAAAACACAATTAAAAACCTAAACTTACAAGTACCAGGGCACAAAACCTATCTATTCACAATTTCAAGAGGATAGGAGTTATCAGCTGAATTTAAACTGGGCCTAAGTTTAAAAATGTACAATGATTCTAAAATACGCAAATCTGAAGTACCGGAGGTGGAAGCTAACACTCTAAAGTCACTGTCAGAGACAGGGACACCACACTGCTCGGCGTGAGTGCGCACAGCCGAATGAGGGGGGCGCGATAGTAACTGTCCGGTCCTACAACTCCTGCCCTTATGCTCAGCGACCCTGGAATAAAGATTGCGAGACGTCATCCCGACGTACGCATATGCACATTGTGCTCAACGAAATTGATAAATCAGGGACGATCGCATATGAACAGGGAGCATATCTTTATATCTAAAGAAAGAACCGATTTTGAAACTGTTTACCAGAACAATATGAAGTTTGACGTTTGGAAAGTATCTATCGAACAAGGCTGTTAATTCTCTTGACATAGCTTCGGACGCAGGGCCGAAGTATGGAAAAGAACAATAAATAACGTTCCTACTATCGCGCTCGGGAGCAACCTCACAGAATCGCTTCGACATGAATTTCTTGATTTGGGTATACACCAAACTTGCCGGAAATCCATTAAGCGAGAATATATTTCGTATAAATTCAAATTCAGCGTCCATAGCATGGTATGTTGAACAAATGCGAAAACCTCTGTATAATAAAGTTTTAAGCCCATTTAACTTGAACCGGAATGAACAAAAACTAAAGAAACTTGTATTAAGACCGGTGAATGTCGGTTTTCGGAACACAGAAGTCAAAAAACGGCCATTAGATTTTGTAATATTGCAATCTAGGAAGGACAAACTATTGTTAGATTCAAGCTCCATAGTAAATCCTCGATTGCAATATTACAAAATCTAATGGCCGTTTTTTGACTTCTGTGTTCCGAAAACCGACATTCACCGGTCTTAATACAAGTTTATTTAGTTTTTGTTCATTCCGGTTCAAGTTAAATGGGCTTAAAACTTTATTATACAGAGGTTTTCGCATTTGTTCAACATACCTGGTATGTTGAACAAATGCGAAAACCTCTGTATAATAGAGTTTTAAGCCCATTTAACTTGAACCGGAATGAACAAAAACTAAAGAAACTTGTATTAAGACCGGTGAATGTCGGTTTTCGGAACACAGAAGTCAAAAAACGGCCATTAGATTTTGTAATATTGCAATCTAGGAAGGACAAACTATTGTTAGATTCAAGCTCCATAGTAAATCCTCGATTGCAATATTACAAAATCTAATGGCCGTTTTTTGACTTCTGTGTTCCGAAAACCGACATTCACCGGTCTTAATACAAGTTTATTTAGTTTTTGTTCATTCCGGTTCAAGTTAAATGGGCTTAAAACTTTATTATACAGAGGTTTTCGCATTTGTTCAACATACCATGCTATGGACGCTGAATTTGAATTTTTACGAAATATATTCTCGCTTAATGGATTTCCGGCAAGTTTGGTGTATACCCAAATCAAGAAATTCATGTCGAAGCGATTCTGTGAGGTTGCTCCCGAGCGCGATAGTAGGAACGTTATTTATTGTTCTTTTCCATACTTCGGCCCTGCGTCCGAAGCTATATCAAGAGAATTAACAGCCTTGTTCGATAGATACTTTCCAAACGTCAAACTTCATATTGTTCTGGTAAACAGTTTCAAAATCGGTTCTTTCTTTAGATATAAAGATATGCTCCCTGTTCATATGCGATCGTCCCTGATTTATCAATTTCGTTGAGCACAATGTGCATCTGCGTACGTCGGGATGACGTCTCGCAATCTTTATTCCAGGGTCGCTGAGCATAAGGGCAGGAGTTGTAGGACCGGACAGTTACTATCGCGCCCCCCTCATTCGGCTGTGCGCACTCACGCCGAGCAGTGTGGTGTCCCTGTCTCTGACAGTGACTTTAGAGTGTTAGCTTCCACCTCCGGTACTTCAGATTTGCGTATTTTAGAATCATTGTACATTTTTAAACTTAGGCCCAGTTTAAATTCAGCTGGTATCTCCTATCCTCTTGAAATTGTGAATAGATAGGTTTTGTGCCCTGGTACTTGTAAGTTTAGGTTTTTAATTGTGTTTTTTGTGCTTTCAATTGTACTAATTTGTGACTTTCTATGTAAATTATAGATTCTACGAACTGACGATGGAGCTGGACTCCGAAACGTTTTCCATAAAGATATGAACATTTGTGGTTTAATCCTTGCTTTTAAATTTTTGGTTAACTTGCGATTTAAGCAAATAAGTGACATCAAGCCTTCAATCGCGGCCCACAAATAAATCGTTCAAAAATTCGGCCCTCATTGTTGTATGAAAAGGAAAATTTTCATAAGGCTATTTTATATTTCCTGTGTAAATATATAAAATTTATAAATTATTTTCCCGTTTATATTATAGTATATATACGGGTATGATTTGTATTTCCCGTATATATTATAATAGTATATTAAATTGCAGGTTTTAACGAATCGCTGTGTCGAGTGACGTGTTCTGAGGGAACTCATAAGACCGTCTAAATTTGATTGGATGTTAGATCGTATTTTCTTAGTGTCATCAATTTTAATTTCAAATTTACGTTGAAACATAAAATTATTCCATTTATGTATCTTTCTATTGACAACTATACTATATTTTGAATATGTTCTACATTCTTTAGAGCTTTCCTCATCTTGATATAAAATACAAAGCACCCATGCACCTCGGTGTGGTTGAAGTGCTCGTGGTGGTGAGCTTGGTGGTGGTGGTGGGAGATGTGACTGCTTTGGTGGAAGTGGTAGGGTTGCTTCCACCGGCCACCGGAGTTGGTGGAACGAGCAATGGCGTGGTGGAAGAGGATGACGCTGCAAACAAACTGCCATTTGAAGCTGTTTTCCAGGGTAAGTACCGTTATATTTGCGTATATTCCAAAGTTATATTTCTAACAAATTCAAGGCTCAGATTTACTTTTTATTTCAAATATTTTCACTTCTTCATGGATGAGTTTAAAAGGACCAAAGCTCAATATAACTTCAGGAGATAGCGTAACGTAAAGTTCGCGTCATCAAAGGATCTTTTTATGCCGCTGTGTTTCTTCTGTTTATTCTTATTAATTAATTGAATAAATTGTATACCTTTATATAAATTAAATGTACAAATTTTGTTTAAAACATGCTGTATAATTTACTTTCATCGGCTGCATTTTCAGTAATAAATATTTGAAAAAATTGTTATATTGGTTCAGTAAATCTACCACTGTCGATGCCTCGAGGTTTTTAAATAATTTGTTAGTTCACTGCGACAATAAACAAGTTAATAACAACAAGTAATCCTGAAAGTAAAAAAAATAATAACCGAGTATGCTTGTTGGCTGTTTCACTCATTACTGTTATTATAACAGCTTGTCTTCTTGGGGTTTCGAATGAATATTGTCCTTGTATAAATCGAGTACCTTAGTTAAATAAAAAAAAAAAAAAAAAAAAAATCGGGAGAAGGAAAAAATTCAGCATCTCTATATAGTATGTTCAGAGAATAAAAAGTTGTTATTCACGTCCATTTTCAACTATCCAAGCATACCACACGAAAAATCATATAATTATTAATGTTGATTAAGTATCGAAGGCTACTAGCGAAGATTCACGGCGTTCCTGGCGTTTAAACATCAAACCGTTGAACGTTTCACTGAAGTTGGTTTTTTGTCAGAGGCTAAATATCTATCTGATTGGCATACTCGTACATTATTTTGCAAAACCGCTGTCAGCCGCGTGCAATAAACAACGTTGTTCGTACGTTGTTTCAAGTAAAGATACAAAAACTCAACTTTTTTCAACATCTCTTGTTTGGTTGGTTATTTCTCAGACGACACGTGCTAGTGACGACAGACGACTTGTATAGTGACGATGCTAAAAATTAACTCGATCGTACAGCTTCAGTATTCCATTCTGAAATAATAATACACTTATATAGCATCACAGTAGAAGCAACAGTGATAGAAATCAACGAGAGACGGTTTTTAAGCTTTTAAATAAGACATTTTCATGGATTTCTTGTCCTAGAATCGCCCAGCTGTGGTTAACGCCAATATGGAAAATAATTATGTATGACTGCCTTTCTAAAACTTTCTTAAATTGGAAACATCGAGCATCACGATGCTGTTCTAGGCGATTCTCGTTGCCTGCGCATTACGCTGTTTTGTAGTCACTCGCTCATTCGAAATGACTGAGGTAAATTTTATCGCAGTTTTCACAAACACCAATTTCAATTTAAGAAATTTTCCACCCAAAAAGTTGCAGGTTGTTTTTCATACTAAGATCATCTCTGCAAACGGGACTTAATGGGACGCATTTTTGGTACTATCACTCACTATGAAATCCGTACACTCGCCAGCCATTATCGTTATACGGAGGAAACCACTCGGTGTTTTTGACTAGTTTGTACCGATAAATTTACGAAATTGCTTCTGTCATTCCCTTCCAAAGCACGACCGTTTACAAGCTTCTCTACGACTGCAAAAGATCGCTGATTTTCAAATCCGATACGAGGGCCATTCTTCCGACATTCGAAGTAGACCACAGTTTTTGCAATATCCGATGCTATATCCCTCGGCCTCCGAGACCGTGATCAGAATATCGAGTAAGTAATCACATTATTCGTGTAATTTCAAAATAATATTTTATAGACCAGTAATTGGTAATTTGACTAACCATCTTTTGTCAATCACTATGAGAAATTCATTGATGAATTAATAATGCTGCACGACTTCAAACGAGTTTAGAATTCATTATTTATTATTTCATTATTTAATGAAAACATTTAGTTGAAATATTACATTATTAAATTAGAACGATGGCATAGAGTGTTATTGAGTGTTTCCATTTTTAAAAAGTCATATACACATAAAGCCCCCGAAAGCAATGCCGATTGCTTATTGCCACAATGAACTGGAAGAATTGAAATGCCAGCGTCATCGGCAATGATTTTAACATTGGGCCGGCATTACAATTGTTACTGACCAACGCAACGTTTGCACGATGCATGCGGTGCCTTACTTACGGAGTTATTGCTGGCGCTGGAGACGAGGTCCGCCTTGCTGATATCGAGGTGTTGTTTTATTTGTTTCAGTAATTGAAATTTTGACTTCGAAGATGATAGATTTTCATTTCTGGTAAACGACACAGATATTTTTCCGATAACTTTAGTTCGCTTCACGAAAAATTATTTTTAATCCTCGATACATATTTATCTGATTCTTTTTTGTCGATCTTTAATCATTGTTGTGAATAGATAATGGTATAAAGTCATATTTTTCACAGATTTAGATACTTAAACAAGACGAAAATATTTTATCGCAGATGTCTTAGGTCCCTATAAGATATTGACATTTAACCATTATTTTACTGACTAAATAGTCGATCTAGATATTTTTGTCATGAATATCTGTACTCCAACTTTCATGTAAATTAGCCATGGTGAATTTTGCCATCACAATGTACCATGGCCACGATAAGGAAGTAAATATTTTAGCAACTATATGACGAGACGCTATTTTTTATGTAGATATTTTATTGGGCGAGCTCAGGGGCTGTGGGTTTGGCTGCAGGAGACTGGATGACCGATGTTAACACTGCTTTTGCTGCTAAATTAAATAGGTAACAATTGGATCCATGTAGCAGTGGGATGAAAACAAATAACCAGAGTTAATAACAAGTCCAAAAAGCGGTTATACTGTAGCTATTCAATGACAGCTTTGCACCGAACATCTGATATCAATCGCTTCAATGCCGTAGATCTTACAGCCCACTTTCACCGGTTCTGTTTGTTATTCGATCTCTCGGATCACAGTCAGTTGCGATTTATGCCTGTTATTCGACCTAATCCGGCTAATATTTTCTTGTCTTTGGTGGTAGCGACAACGAATATTCGCCAAAAACTGAATATTATTTGAATAAATTTCGCCTGTGTCAATGTTTTTACGACCATATAGGCAACCACCATTTGCTTTTCAAAAGAATTGTACCAATCACAAACACGAAATCTGAGTTGACGATCAGGATAGATCCTATAGGGACTCCTTAAAGGTTGCAGGACCTTCGCCCCGGGCTGAGGTGCCCGTAAATAGAACCTGGACTGGGAATTTAGCTCCTGCCTGATTTGCCGCCCTGTATATCTCGGCGCTATCGACGCCGCTGTCTCGACGTCGCTAATTGGTGGCCGCGGCCCCGAAATATTGGCTGCTTCCGTGTTGAAAATTATGGTCGGTTAATGGGTGGCCAGCCAACACAGATATGACACTAATTATCAGAGTGGTTTTGGTCTTCTGACCTTTGCCCTGAGGTCTCCCGGCAGCAAGAATTATGGAATTTACTGATTTAAAATTTTGCATCTGGATGTAAATTGAAATTTGGTCCACGAGAAAGTTTACATCAAGGCATATGATAGTGGCTGGAAATTCTTCACCACGAAAATGAAACTTTGCAAATTAATCTTGATTCTTTGCAGCGAATGTATCATTCGCTGCAGCGAAATGATATTCTTCTTGATTCTTTGCAGCGAATAAGCTGCCCCAGCTGCTCTTTCAACTAAGCTTGATTTGTTTCCTCTTTATTCCATGTTGAACAGCATTACTAAATAAAAAATGAATTTTTGTATCACGCAATTAGAATATAAAGTTGAAACATGAGTTCGGTTGCAACTATTGTAAATAAAATGTTTTCCTTGTCTGTTAATGATAGTTTGAATGAAGCTATTTGGAAAGACAACCATTTAATTTAAGATTTATAGAGAAGCTTCTTAATTTTGTATCTAGGAGAAGTTGAATAGATCTAAAAATGTAAACATTTAATTGCGATTCCATGAAGTATTTTCATCCATTCAACTGCATTGACAAACTTTTTGCCTCGACACCACACCTCATCCATCGCCAGTCTTTATTCTGTACCAATTATTTGTCACTGAAGACAAATAATATTATTAGACGATATTCTTAGAGGCAGTTTCAACTTAACAAGTCGTGTTTGCATCATGCATACTAAACTGAACTGAAACTGAACTGAAACATTATAGAGCTTCTTTATGTACCTGCAAGGAGTTTTATTTGACATAAAATGTCAGTTTAAATATTTTAGCCAAATTTATTGGTACAAACATAAATTCATAACTGAAACTGAAACGGAACTGAAAATAACCTTGCACAATTGACACGTTTACAGTCGACTGCGGAAACAATATCAGATTAAATGTACCTCATTAATTTTTATCGTTCTCAAAAACTGGAAACAATACAATTGTGTTCCTCATTATCTCCCCAGATCATGATAAAATAGGAATTTAAATCCTTAAAAAATAAACTTTTTAGGAAACATTCCCCAATAGTAATTATGACAACTAAGGAAAAATATTGCTGTGAGTCTCAAACTTTTTAATTTTCTACGTTAAATTACACGAATCATCTTTAAACACTAAAAAACTTAAATCCAAAAATTTTCCGTTATGTTCTCATCATGTTAATTAGATTCCTCCGTTATTTCTCTGCAAAGTTCACTCTTCGTTTGCTGCCACGATCGATGCTGCATTTCACCCTGCCTGTGTTTTGTTTCTAGACGTCATAGTAACGACCTTCTTCATCAGGAACAGAATAAACGTCTAAATATTCCGTCTTACAGACTTCCTGATTTGAGCGAGCTATTCGCTGCTCTTTTGTTCGTATTTTTCCATGATTTTTATTAATTCTGTTCTGTGTCAGGAAGCTTACGGAAGTTACAGGGTTTACTTCATGCTGCCGAAATCTGTTCTTGATTGATATTTCCATCAGCGAAATTATTTACGTTCAAGACTGACGACAAGAGACGGTATCATGTAAGTTGAGTAGGTTGAATGGTTCCTAGCTCGATTGAAATCAAAT